CCTTTGATGTCACTTCCTGTCTCACTTTAACTGAGCAAAATTCAAAAGAAAATATGCCTGTTATGTGATATAATAGGTAAAATTGTGTGTATTATGCCAAGTTTTTTTAAATATAAATATTTTTTCTTTGACTTTTTGTATTTCATGGAAATGCATGTCACAGGCACTTTAATGATCATTTCATCCACATTCATTAAAGATCTGTTCCACCACTTATGTTTATTCTCATCTAAGCCTGTATATCATTATGACTACAGACAAATAAAAATAAACTAAAGTGTTCACGTTTATCATATCATAAGGAAATTATTTTCTCAATWTGAGTCTAAATTACAAATGCACACCAGATACTGGTGCTCTGTTTTCTTTGTTTATTTGACTTATTTATACAGGTTTTGAGTGAAGGAGTTCACTCTAAGTGCTACTGATTAATTTATGTTATTTATGCTTAGTCAATGTCTTATTCAATCAATCTTTTGTTTTTGAGGTTACTCTTTRGTGATGCTGTTTGAAGGTGATTTCTAGCTGGCATGACTGATTTGCAGAGCACCRAACAAGAAAAGGGGAGAGGCTAGGTTATGTTTGCACTAAATTCTTTCACTAAGGCAATTGTCCTTGGACCCTACTAACTGTAGCTTCAGTAAATTGCAGTTTAATGTAGTCAACAAATTAGAATGCAGACAGCTAATTTGCTAGCAAAGATAAGCAGACGGGCAGAAAATCCTTGAGCAATCTACCGCTACCTGYTTCGCAGTTCATTTGAAAAGGACAAGTGAAAAAAAAAGAGCAGACACATTTAGTCACTCTTACACATCTATGTGGGCTGATATTTCCATACAGCCTCGCTCTTCCTGCTAACAAACCCCCCGGGGGGCTGCGTCTGAGATGCAGAGTGATCCTCAGTGTGTAACCTGCTACTGCGCTCGGTCTGGCAGAGGTAATTTTGATACGCTGGCAGACAGTCCAGATGATGCAGATGCAAATACCAGACAGAAGAGCCAAGAGGATTACGGAGCTAAAGAAAGATGGGAGAAAACAGGAAATGKTTTTGAAARAGATACACAGTCAAAAGACCTAAAGGAAGTGCRTTCAATCTGAGCTGCTTTTTAAAGCAGAGATGGTGCAAAATGTAGAAATGAGCATTACATCAGTACTGCACTCAGTTTAACTGGACAATTTATAAGAACTTATAAATTTACTCTTAACATGCAACTTTTAGTTCGTATTATTTTCTCCAGTGATTCTTACAGATTTTTTATTCAGTTTTCTACCATGCTTATATTTTTTACATATATACTTAGTAAAAAAAAGTCAGGAAATCTGTGTTTGGTAGATAATTTCTTTTTTGCAACAATGCTTCTTGGCAATAAATTTTATAAATGTGATTGGCAGCAACCTGGGGGTAGCAGAAGCTCAAAACAAGTGGTGATAGAAACAATGGAATAAACTGTTTGGCAGAGAAGATTTGGCTAATTTCCATGTGYGCAACCCACAGACTCAGCTCTACTGCTTATCCCACAAATGCATGTTCCTTACAAATGTCACACTTTTTAAAAGGGAAATTAACCCAWATTCAAACAGTATAAGATTTATTATCAAGAAGCATTGTTACAACAAAGAAATAATCTACTAAACAATAAATGTACGACAAGTTTAGTAAGTGTGGGGGAAAATACACATATATTTAAACTATAAAAACAAAATAAATTCAATTAATATAAAAAGTTAAAACTTATCAAAACTATTTCCAGATATTTGATCCTTGGGGTTTTCCAATGACACCTGATGTCCTCACAAAAGATTCATTATTKTTTTATATATTGTATTTTTATGCTACTTAATGTTTTTTCACTCATCCAAATTATTATGTTAATTCATATAACAAGCCAGCAGCAGGTAAAAACAGTGTCAAAGGTGTTTGATATAATTTTACATTTTGAAAATCACCCAGCTACCAAAAGGCTGCAGAGGTGCGCTTAATACTGTACTTTCATGGTTCTGTTTTAGGTGAAAAATGAAAATAAAAGTAATATTTATTTTACAGTTCTTATTAAAATAAACTCACTTCAATGTAAAATTGATTACCTGCTAAAGCTTTCACTTTTGAAACACATCAATTCAAACAAATCAAAGTGTGTGCTAGCAGGAGGACTGCATCATATTACCAAATGTTTTCAGCTACACAAAATTAAACCTGAGTTAGAAAGTCTTCAACACAACACTCGCCTGCTTCTCGCATCGTTTCTTTGGAACCACATTATAAATAACACGCGTGATAAATCCAGGTGCATAAAGCTCAAAATACCGAAAATGTGGTTTGTGAAATCTTTTGGCTTTTGAATAGCATGTTCAACATACTGCAGCACCGAACCGCTTCCTCTATAATCAAATCCACACACCTGGCAACCACCTGCCAAGCTCGCTGGAAATGTCATGACTAAATTTCTTTGTTGAACCGGATTATGAGATTTCTAATTAGTTTCACAATGTGCAACGAAGTTAGGACGTCTTTGCTGTATTATCTCATAGCTGTAAAATAACTGGAAAAATGCTCAAATGCTTGTAGTTTTGTTGCATATATAGCTTTTAAAATCAAAACCGAGCAGAGAGACAAGGATCTACAGATTTAACAGATGCAGATATCCTGCACATAGTTTTTTTTTATCAAGCATTGTATTGAATAAGATGATGAAAAGCAGAGTATTCAATAGCCGTCTCAAGGCTGCACAAAGCACCGATAAAATGTGTCCAGATCTGCAGCCGAGGGTGAATTAAGAGTGCCTGAACCAAAGTCACAGAGAGGCAGCTCAGACTCACAGGCGTGGGCCTCGATTTAGCAAGGCCAAAGTTATTTTATCAGGTTGGAAGGATTTTCATAACTGCAATAGGCTGCCTTTGTCCAATCAAAGATGTCTGTGAGGACAGAGAACCGCGATAGTCGAATGTACTGTACATGTAGTATGAGCATACAGTACAAAGCCAACATACACAGCATGGAAACACACTATACAAGCTTTTTTACAGTGTTCTTATATATATATTTATTTCAAAATAAAATGACTTTGCATTGAGTTAAGCTGTATTTCTTTGGTTGAAGCAAAAACCAGGGGTGAGGCGGGGTTACCAAAACCTCTGGAGTTAAAAAAGTCCTTGTTTTTAAAATAAAGAAACAAAAAAAAACATTTCCTCACATTTCCATGCCTTTATTCTCTAAACGTCTGTGTTTTCTCTCCTTTTTTCCCCTTCTTCCCTGTGTTGCAGATTAATCCCAGGACCTAACAGAGAGCTCCCAGTGCAGGACTGTGTTCCAGCTCTTCCTTTACGTGCACTTTTTTTTTTTCCTTTTCCCATCGAATGGTCTAAAACTATTACATCCACAGCTGCGAACTGGCTTACACGGGACCACAGAAAGGATATCTGCCCAGATAGAACAGATTTACACTGCGCGGCACCATGGATTTGAAACCGGACTAATCCACTGTATGATCAACGAGCCTCCATGTTGGTGACTGTCTGCTGTCAGCTGTGGCCAGTTTCCAATCTGCTCTCTTTCTGTTTCTTCAATCTTGTTGTTTGCTGAAAACCTGGGACAGCTTATCGGGGGTTATTTACAGCCGGTTAAACCCTTAAAGACAATCTGTTGACCTGCCTATAGGTGGACCTGTTAGGAGGCGTGCATGGAGCTCCACAAAACTACGGGCACAGTGGAGTAAAAGTGATCCCCATTCTGTTATTTCTGTGTGGAAAATATCTGTAGATGACTTGCTGCTGGAGAAGGATAACATTGCTGTGAAACTACGGAGGACATTTTGACTAAAAATAATAAAAGAAGAAAACTCGTCAGATTATAAGAAACTGCAGCCTACAACGAGACAATACAGACGCCGTCTGGTCTGCCTTCATGACCTGAGCTTCATCCTTCACAAGGAATATTTTGACGTTTATTGCTGGGCATGCCCATTGTAGATTCATGAGCACTTTTCGTTTTTTTTTATGTTGGATCATTTGTGTATATAAAACACATATATAAATACATTACATGTACTGTAAGATGACAGATGCAGGAGGCTGAAAAATATATTTACAATTCTAAGAGAAGCTCCCTTGGTGGAATATTGATCAGCTCCGGAACATAATCCAGGAGCTGATGTATACGCTTGCACTGGTGGGAGGGAAAGGCTGTAAGTGAATCATAAAAAAACCCAACAAGTTCTGCTTGTCATTTAACAATGTTTTCTGTCGAGACAGACGATGCTTCTGTAAAAAAAAAGGGGGAAAACAATGTATAGAACTGCTTCACTTTTCTAAGCAGCAGTGACAACAATTCTTGATCCTTCTAACCGAGCACAGCAGGAGCTGCAGAACAACGACGAGCATGATCAGAAGAAGTGTTCATGGGCAAGAGTCCTTGTCGTGTAGATCGCTACTCTCACACACAGGAGAGAKATGTTACTTCAAATGATGCTGAGAAAGTATTAAGAGGAAAAAGCTACCCCCCCCCCCCCAGTAGATATAAGTACCTTACAAGACAGCCTTATGAGAAATAAAAATGGTTTTCTATATGAATATGCCGTCTCTCTTTTCTCCATGTTGAACGATGGTTTGAAAAACGCTCCTCTCACGACTACATGATGCGTTGTAAGGTGTGGGTGGAAGATCTCGTCGAAGTTTCATTTGTGTTGTGCTTTAACGCCATGCGAACAAGGATTTTTGCTTGAGTAAATAAGCAATCAGCGGCAGCACGGGAAGAGTGTGAGAATGACTTCCGGGCACACGGAGGAGTCGCGCACGCAGGCAGCCACAAACGAATCTGCGATGCTTCATTTATGCAATTCCCTCAGCGGCAGAGTGGATTTATCAAAACAGAACATTCAATTCATTCGCGGCAATTAGAATGAAGATTTTCAATATCGGCTGGGCAAAATTCCAGATGATTTTCAATATCAGCCTCCTCCTCTCAGGCTGATATTAGATTCGTCTCGTGTCCCGGCGGACGCACTGGTGTACATTCATCATTTAGGAATATGGCTAGTTTTGTGGAGCACGCTGCCTCGCTGAGCAGTCACAGAAGGTATGAAAAAGACAGACGCATCAATCTCCCAGCGGTCTCACCAGAATCATGAAGGAATATGCAAAAGAATGGAAAGAGTAGGAGCGTTTTTTTTTCCTCCTCAGTGTGTCGTTCCCTTCTTTGTTTTCTTACATCTGATAAGATTCACTGTCTTTTTTTCCTTTTTTTAGCTTGTGCTGAGCAAAATAAGTTTGTCTCTGATTGCTCTATGTTGCTAAAGATTAATGTGTCTGCATTTCTTAGTTAATCAGTGCATCCATGTGTASTTTTAGAGATTCTACCCAGAATCTGTGAAGCAGACATCCCACTAAGTCGTACTGTGAAGATTATCCTGAAAAACAGTGCTGCAGTGCAAGTTGTAGGCAGACTTTTACCTGAAAGTAGACTGAGAATCAAAACTAGTGGGAATGGTGGGAGGGRAAAAAGTTATTCTTTTCTTTTTTATTATGCACTTCTTAGGTCTATCCTAAAATAGTAGAGTCATGCTAAGGAAGGAGGTCCTGCTCCATTTTTTGTTTTGAGAGGAAAAGAGAACACAGCGTTAATGGATAAAAAGGGCCAGGGTCTCCTCCCTCTCTGCAGCACGGCAACCTCAAAAATCRAGACATCCATCAAGTTGTGCCAACCTCCCACTGCGACAGGTAGACAGCTATGTCCATATGCTGCTGTAGAGCTAATCAGCAGCTGACAGCAAGGACAAGGCTTTTCATACAGTTAAACCATGTGCTGAGAATGGGAACAGTTTTGTGTGTATATA